TGTTTGTGCCTGAGGGGGAAAAAGAAAGTTTAACATTCCATTTGTTCTGGTTGGATGGAATATTAACAAATTTCCATGTCGTTGGATTATGGGTATACGAAATTGATAATGAGAATTATAATCTGGTATTGATTGACTAGGTTCATCTTCATATATGTCATGTCTTTTAGATTCCCATTCATAGTTTACATTTTCTCTTTGTCTTCCCACTGGTTGTCCACCAGCAATAAAAGGAGTTGCCTTTATTTGCATTTTACCCATAACAATAGTAAAAATAGCAAGCGACACTAACTGGAAGAACATTAAAAATATTTATGTAAAAAAAATATTCTTTTTTTATCTTAGGCTGCTTCCACAATAGCTAAATCGCATCGTAACAATTTTTTAGGACCATACGATGCGCGCGCATCCATTATCAACTGTCGGTAACTGTCGGTTTGCAATCGCTTGCAAATATTATTGAAATATAAAAAAAAATTTTTTTGTCGACAGTTGGTAATGAATGCATGCGCATCGTCTCATCCTGAAAAATCGTCTTCATAAGACGATGCGATTTAGCTATTACATACAATATAATTATTGAAAATAATAATATATTTAACATTTAAACTGAGAGACCACTATATCTAAACACAGAAAAATGTTTCTTTATATTAAAGAAGTAAATCTTTCACGGAGAGAAATAGATGGTAAGAACTAATGATTTAAGATAGTAAAAAGTAGATGTTATCCGGTACCATCATTATGCTACTCGGTACTATCAAAGATGTTACAAAAAGTATGGTTATGTTACCCACTATACAATCTAGATAGTAACAGAATCTAAATAGCTGTCCGTATATGTAAGACCAAATATGGTACCTGGTACTATCTAGATAGTACCCCGTACCATCTATTTCTCTCCGTGTTGATATAGGGATATTTAAAAATGTGTTTAAAAAAATAAGTGAAAACTCACCAGTAAAAAGATCTTCATTTTGTGCGAAATCGATTGATGACTGCATTATAATTAAAACTTTATTGAATTCAGCTTTATATAATATTTCTTATCAGGTCTTGCCTCAGTAATTCTTACAAATTGTTTATTTCAAATGAAATCGTTATTGATTATTAAACGGAAAGTTGTACATTATTATTCATTTTTTTCCCATTTGATAATACCCAAATTTATTTGGTTTTAGTTGGAATTTCCAGAGACTAATGTATTCATTTAAAAATAGCTGAAAAATTACAACGGAAATGGATTCTTTAGAAAATTTACCATAGACTACACGGAAAAAACAAATTAACTATTTTGGCACCAAATTGCTTTATCATTTAATAGTATGTAACTTTGTTTACCTATTAAAGTATGAAATAATGCTTCTTTAGTTTAAAGTAAGTCCATACTAAATAAGTATAATGGTTATACTCTTATAGTAATAGTGAAGTTCTTTAAAAGCATAAAATTGATGCCCGAAAAGTACGACATATAGTCTACTTAAAATAGCAAGAGCTTCATCCTTTTTAGTGGATAAATTCTTGCAACCTGCGTTTTGACCGATATCGATATATCGATAGTTGGAAAGGGAGGTAGGTGTGGCCAAAACGCAGGTTGCAAGAATTGATCCACCAAAAAGGATGAAGCTCTTGCTATTTTAGGTAGACTATATGTCGTACTTTGCGGGCATCAATTTTATGCTTTTAAAGTACTTCACTATTACTATAAGAGTATAATTATTATACTTATTTAGTGTGGGTTTACTTTAAACTAAAAAAAGCATTATTTCATACTTTAATAGGTAAACAAAGTTACATACTATTAAAGGATAAAGCAGTTTTGTGCTAAAATAGTTTATTTGTTTTTTCCTTGTAGTATCTTACAAATATTTTTTTTTCTCCAAAATTAACGTTTCTAAGAAAAAAAAATGGATTTTTAAATGTTCTAACCTCTAATTTTGGTTGACTGAGTATTTTAAGAGATAAAAACCACTAACAAAATTTGAGCCGAATCGTTAAACTGCTGCCAACAAATTTGTGTTTTAGCTGTGGAATCCCTCTATATCAAATTTTAATTTTAACGTCCGATTGTAAAAAATAGTTATTTTATTATAAAAATTACACATGAAAAGTGAAATAACTTTTTATATTTACATCAAGTTTTCAATTAAAAATATTAATATTAATATTAAAAAATTAATATCTTGGATAAAAGTCAGGTTAATTATTTTTTGAAATTTTTAAAATATCCCCCACAACATCGAAACTTTTCTAAAGATTTATTTGAAATATTCCGAACATTTCAAATAAATCTTTAGGAAATCTTTAGGAAAGTTTCGGTGCTATGGGGGATATTCCAAAGGTACATCTAAATGTTGTCCACGTAAAGGGTATTTTTTTTTTTTTTATGAAAACATAATAAAATGTTTAAAGAATTTGAATGTTAGGACTAAGGATTTGTGCGGAGAAATTGAATAAAAAATTATTTCTAAAACAGTAAAATTTGTATTTATTTTCTATCGTATAATTATGTGAAAGTATAAAATAAAGAACAATTACAATGGTATTTCTTTTAAGATAAAACTGATCAATATTTTCGATAAATATACGTATTCGGAGGAGGATAATAATTATTCGGATAATAAATATTCGGATAATATACATTTTGACTAGGTAAATTTTGTTGAGGAGGTGGTTGTGCTGCTGGTCTTCCCACTGGTTGCCCACCAGCAATATAAGGACCTTGGCACATAACAGTTGCCAAAAGTGCAAAACACAATATCTAGAAAAAACATTTTAAATATTATATGTGTTAAGAAAATGTTTATTTTTTAAGACTATGTTTTTTTTGACTTGAACATTTTTTTTAAATGCTTTTTCATCTGTTAGTAAGACAGAGAAAAACGAATTTCAAAAATTACAAAAATTTCAAAAATTCGAGGAATGTCCTATAGATGATTTATAAAATAATAATTAAAAACTCACCAGTAAGATCTTCATGTTGAATGAAGCCAAATGATGACTATATTAAAACTTTATTTGCTTCATGTTTATATAGCATTGCTTATCAGCCCTCGAATGAATAATTATAATTTTCTTCTTTCAATTAAAGATAATAAATTAATTGAAATACTGATAATGTTATTAATTTTTAAACTTACTGTTTGTAAATTCCAAAAATTGTTCGACCTACGTTGGAATTTCCATAATACTTATCTTGCTCTATATAAAGTCAATCTTAAATTTTACATGGCGTTACGAATGAATTTAAGTTTGCTATACATTTCACCTCCTCTGAACTGATAACTTTATAAGTTAGAAATTCCAATAAGATGGAAAGTACACGCGGTATTCATTAGAAATTTCTGATCAATTAATTTGATGTTACCAAATGACTCTATAAAGTCCGAAAGGGATTCAAAAACAACTAATATAAATACACATTTCATTTTGAGCGACATTTTTTAAATTAATTCTTTCCAAGTTCTGATTGAGACAAATTTTTCATTATTATCATTTATTTCGTTTGTTATACGAGTGAAATGTTAAAATTCAATTTTTTAAAAGTTAAAATTTTACCATTTCTCATTTGGTTACATTGCAGGTTAAGTTTAAACCAACTTTACTCTGTTTTGTTTCTGTCAAATTACAAAAAAAATGGATTTGATAGCGACATACGAATCTAATTCGGAAACAAATAAATTAGAAGCAGATTAATTGCATATACATAGGGTTATTTTGCTGCCCTGCACGGAAAAAAAGATTTACTTGAAATAGCGAAAAGTTTCACTTGAAAAAGCGAAAGATTTAAGTGAAAGAAGTAAAATTTTTGCAAACATAGCAAAACGTTTCGCTGTTTTAGAGATACATTTTTTTTCCGTGTGGCTGATCATAAACTGCTCTGAATGTGCGACAAACTCGCCGAACTTGTTGCACATTCGTAGTGAGTCGAAATAATGTGGAAAATAAATGAAAATTAATAAAAAAAATGCTATTGAATTTAATAAATATACTATTAAATGATTGATTTTTGCATTTTTTTTGTTAAATTAAGTAAAAAAAAGTTTTTTTTTTGGCAATTTTAATTCATTTTTCACATTATTTTCACTCACTACGAATATGCAACGAGTTCGTTGCACATTCAAAGTTTACGATTCGCCAGGTTGAATAAGACTAACTTAGATTATGTACTTATTAATTTCTTATTTATTATTAATATTATTGTTATTATTATTATTATTATTATTATTAATTATCTAAGTTTTAATATTTTTAAAGCTACCAGTTTTAAATTTACTGATTCCATAATAATGGTGATTTGAATACAAAATACTTGTTACGTTTTAAATTATTCACTCGCAAAATGTTTATTTGTTTCCTTTACTGCACTGAATATTAAGTGCAATATATAACTTATAAATTCGTGACTGTTTAATGACGATTAATTACATGACAAGAAAAATTATTTTTTTTAATTCACAATGTTATGGAATATTTTTTCTACAGTGTATTTACATTTTTTTTTTTACTTTAAGGATTTTGAGTAACATTTTAATATTATAGATGCCTACATAATGAAAATAGAAAAAAACAACATCAATTTTGTAATGTACTCTGATTTATTAAGTTATTATTATATAATAATTTTTATTAATTATTTTATTAATAAAACTTAATTAATTAATATTATAACACACGCACCTGACTGTGTGACCACCCGATTGTAACGATGCTGAAGTACACAACGTTTATGATAAACGATTTTTAAAGAAATAATTTTTTAGAATAAAAATTTTATAATTTTTTGCTGGAAAAATATTTCTTGTAGTGCTTATTAATCAATAAATAATAAAACAATATTTATTTTAGATAAGCAATTTTATAATTTTCTATGTTAAATAAAAATAATTGAATTTTAATGGTTAATTATAAACGTTGCGTATACTTCATCATAGTCCATTGTAAGCTTCCTTGTTGGAAGTTGCTTTCGATTTTAATCAGAAAGTCTTTTGTTTTGATAGGTCTTGCTCCTTCATCTATCTCTCTCGTGTGTGTGTGTGATTGACATCTGGATTGGCTTCCCTGTAAAGTTTGCTTAGAGCATCTGCATACGATTTTCCTGCGGCGATTCTGATCACCATTGCTGATCCTCTTGTGATCCGCTCAATTCTGGGACGCTGTGACTTCAGTACTCCCGTCTCCTTATCATCTTCATTTTTTAAAGGTAAGTTTCATCATTAATTGACTCTTTTCCACATTTGTTGACCTTATTTTTTTGGTTTTATCAAAATAAAAACTTGAAGGTTCCATAAACCGTATACATCGTTCTACGGTTAATTCGATTTTACAGAGAATTTTCTTTATTCATTTCATTGACTCTAGGAGTTTTTATCATCAGAATTTAGAACCAAATTATATTTACTGAAAAGGAAAAAAGGTTGATACATTTAGGTATGAGTTTATTAATTTTATGACTTAACTGTATTGCAAGTAGCGATAGCTAAAAAGACGAGAGCCAATATCTGTAACAGTATAGTGAAGCAAATTTCATCATAAACAAAAATGGTAAACGCATAGAAAAAATTTGCCGTGGCAACGAATTATTTGCTACCACATCAAATTACGTTAGCTAATATAGGGACAGCAAACAAATTTGCTATAGGATCAAAAAAAGTTTGCGCTGTTACAGTAAATTTTTAAAAATTAAGACTGATATTGTTTATCATAGCAAACTTTTTCGTTGCTATAGCAAAAATTTACCTGTGGTTATTAATTTTGATAGATCTGATAGCAAACATCAGTTAGCATCTGTAAGCAATCCCTTTTTTTCCGTCTACGATATACCAATAGAAGCAGTAGGTTTAATGTATGAAATAGAATTTAAAATATAAAATTAGTTATTAATTATTGCTTACAAATATGATCTTCATAGTAGTAAATGTCGAATGTTGACTGTGCTCAAAATCATCGAAAGTCAGTTTTTTATATATATGTTTTGCCTTCTTTCGTTATACATTTTACTTTTTATCAATCGCTGATTGTGATTAGGAATTTTCAATCTTGGTTTTTAGTATACATGAGGCGTTGCAAATAGGAATTTTTTATTATTTGAGAAATGTTTAAAAAAAAACAATTAACGAAATTTTGAAGTTATAAATTTATTGTTTTTATGTTTAGTTATGGTTTTTCATAAAAAAAAAATTTATCAATTATTTTAAGATTATTATTAAGTGCTAATAATTTTTAAAATTTTTGAAAAGCAAATTTATTATCATTACACCCAGATAAAAGATTTCCTTGATATAAAGAAACCAATTTCTTTGACTTGTTTTCTTTAATTCAAAATAAAATTTTCTTTCAAACAAAAGAAGCTTCTTAGTTTCAAAGAAACATTTATTTAAATTAAATTAAAAATTTCTTTGAAACTAAGATAATTTTTTTTTTAATCAAAGATAATTTGTTTGAAACAAATAAATTTTCTTTGTATCAAAGAAAAATTTGCCAAAGAAATTGAGTTATTTGAATCAAAGAAATCTTATTTTCTTAGGTGTACTGCTATTTTTTAGAAATTAAAAATTTTTTAAATTCCGTGATAAATATTTAATTAAAATCCTTCATTAAAAAATTGATTTTTAAAGAAAAGAAGCTATTGTAACAGTTAGTCGAATTTTTTCTACTGAAAATTAATTTAAAAAAAAAAATTAAAAAAAATCTTCATGTTCTATTTAAAACTTAAAAATTGTTTTATTTTTCGCAGCATTTTCTGATTATACAACCGTTGTGAAAAAAATTTAATTAATAAATTATTAAGTATTATTAGGTATTATTATATAATTAGGTAATAATAATAATTAAAATAATTATTATTTTTATTATTAATTATTATTAAATAACTTTTTTTCTAATAGAGTGTCATTTTTTTCATAACGGTTTAATGCTGATAAATGTATGTGGAATAAAAAACAATTTTTATATTATTTTTAAATTACCACATTCCAAGACGAGAAGAACCAATTTTTTTTTGTTTTTAAATTTGTCAAGTGTATTTTTTAAAAATTTACAATTGTTTATAATTTTAGAAACAAATTTCTTTTGGACGAATATTTCCAAAAATTTATTTTGTTTACAGTGTAGAATTTTTAAATTTAGATGATTCGTTTGAGCAATTTTGTCTCTAATAATAAATTATTGAATTTAAATTATTAAATGATTAATAATTTAATTTTGATTAAAAAAGAATGTAACTAAACATATGTTGATATTAAATTTAATACTTAATCTTTTTTTTTTTTGTTTTCTATAAATGTTTTTTGTATTAATGTATTTTAAATAAGAGCGCCTTTTTTCACCAATGAATTATATAGTAGCGCCTCAGTCGACTTTAAACTGTATTACAATATTTCGAATATTGATTATGTTATCGACCGTCGCTCTTCGTATTACTTAGTTTAAATTTTTCACTGCAGAGGCGTAACGATTGCCACGTGTCAATGCTCTGACATTTTTTTTGTGCGTCATATTCTAATCCTCGTATATAAAAAGTCGTCAAGTTGTCGAATAAGTATTATATATAATAGTAAAGTAGTGTAATTATTAGTAATAATAAGTGGTGTAATATTATAGTAAAATATCAATAATGAATCGAGATATTTATCGAGATCAGCCACGACTAGTGATGGTGAGTCTCAAAAATATTGATTAAATTGGTGTTTTTCCTTTTGAATTGATCTATGAGATATATATATATATATATATTTATTTAGTTGAAAATCGAATCTTGTTTATTCGGCTTTTTGACGAATTACGATGGTGTTTATCCTTATCTCCCCCTCTCCGCAGTCTATAATTTTTATTAGAGAACTGAGCTGATTATTGAAAGAAAATATAATTTTTCTTTTCTAGGTTAATTTATTATTTTCTTTTGTTATTTATTTATTTCTTATTTTCTTTTGTTTACTTGGCATCATAGCTTTCAATAATAATTAAATTTTATATAAACATTGTCTGTAACCTAACCTCACTTTCTTTGTCACATTCACATTTTTAAGTATTTCGATGCATTCGAATCGAATAGGTAATTATAAATGTTATTGACTATTCCGTAAAGATCCCCAGTGGGAAATTGCCAAGACTGAATATTGGCTAAATATTGGACCAGTTATTTTTACCAATATTGGTCCAAGGCTGGGAGTGTAGAGACCAATGCCAAGGCTCGAATTTCAATATTGGTTCAATATTCAAAAATACAAAAAATCAGACTCCAGCCAAGATTAAAAAAATTAATTATTAAAACTGAAATATAATAAAATTTTTTGTTATATTTATATTTTATTATATATAATAACATTATTCTGTACATATCGCGGATACTTATACCCTAACCGATTGATGTTGTTTATGAGAGAGAAAAACACTGCCATCTCGCGGGTAGTTGGAAAATTAATGTAGCGCGAAATTCAAATTGCTTGAAAGAAAAACTGTAAATATAAACATTTACTTGAATTTATATTTACTTAAAAATGCATACTATTGCATTAAAACTTAATTAATGTTATAATGGTCACAAATAATTTTTTTAATTTTAATTCTTTATACTTACAGTTTTTCCTTCACGCAGTTTGAATTTCGCGCTACGTTAACTTTCCAACTATCCGCCAGATGACAGTGTTTTCTCTCATAAACAACATCAATCGGTTAGGGTATAAGTATCTGCGATATGTACAGAATCTTTATAATATCTCTTTTATTTAGCTGATAATTGTTAAATGGGGTTTTTGAATTATTCTACCTTTTTACCCAAACAAAGAATATATAAATATTATTAAATATATAAACTTTAATAAAATAAAGAAACATTCAGATAAGTTACTTAAAATAACAGGCGCTGAATATATATTTTAGAATTAAGAAATTTTTGTATAACTTTAATGTACAACTTTCAATGATAAATAAATATGGTTTTCAAAGTCAAAGTCAAGCTGATAATTGTTAATGCCTATCAGGACGTTATATTAGAAAATATTTTTTTCTTTTTCTCCGTATATTGCGGATGATTTTATATGTAACCCTTGATCCGAAGGGAAATAATAATGTTATTATATATAATAAAATATAATAATATTGGTTGAATATTGGGCCAATATTGAAATTCGAGCCTTGGTCTTTACACTCCCATACTTGGTCCAATATTCAGCCAGTCGTGCTTTTCCCACTGGTCGAGTACGATAAAATTTAGTTAAAATAAATCTTCTTTTTTTAGTAAATTACAACTTTAAATTTATAAGTTAATTTTTCATACAATTTCAATATATAGAAAGAAAAGAAAATTTAATTTAGTATAAATCGCAAATTGATTAAAAATATTACATTTAGTACAAGAAAATTGATTTTTTATTCATATATATTAAAAGATAAGTACATACTGAAGAAATGAATAAAGATACTAAAATTATTGTAACCTAATTTCTTAATAATATTGTACACGAGTTTTACAATTCTATTTTAGATCATCTAACTGTAGCATTTTTTATAATCAGATCCCCTTAGGTATGCACATAGGCATGCAAACTTACCAACTTCATTATTAAAGTATAATACTATAGACTTTATGAAAGAAAAAAAATGTTCTAACTAAAGAGTAGAAAACAGATATATATAATTTAGATATGAATTTATTAATTTTATCGCTGAACTACACATGATTTAATTTAATTACAACAGAATAGGTATATGAACAATCTAATTGATATTAATATTATAAAGATCTAATCTATCACTAGTTTTAAATTCATGAAAAAATTTTGTTACATTAAGTTTATTGGGATTATGTTTTCTACTAACTGAAGAATCACCAGTAGATAGCTTTGTATGATCAATAACATAAATATTATCTTCTAGTTCATACTTAGTTGGCTGTAAAGCAGAATTGTATGTCTGTTTTGGATTTTTAGACCGTGATGAGTAGCTTTCAGAATTATGTTGTCTTCTTTTGCCATAATTTTTCATTCCCATGAAATCATTGATCTTTAAATTTTTAGGTGAAATAACTGAACTGTCAGTAGCAATAGCCATAAAGGCGAGAGCAAATATCTGTAAGAGAAGAAAGAGAAAAATTTTATTTTAAATTAGAAAAACTAGCATTTTTATTAATTTTTTGAAAAAATAATGAAATAGAATTTATAATAAAAAGGCGCTTATTTTCAAATATTGTACTTACAAGTGTGATCTTCATTTTTCGATAATGAAATGTTAACTGCGTACAACATTATGAGAAGACAGTCTTTTATATTATTTACGTGTTTTAATAATACTCTCTTTTAATCTAATTCACTGATACAAATGTCAATCATTTTGTAGTTGGGAATTTTCAGTCTTGGTTTAAAAAAACAGACGTTATTTTCGATGATTGACTGAATCAACATATTTTTGGGGGATCCCAGGTACAAAAATTTTTTTTCTCCGATCACACTTAAACTCGGAGCATTTGTGGTACTCATAAATGTTAATTTTTGGTAAAAATATTTTTTCATTTTGTCCAATATTTCTTTTTTTTTTTGGGACGCATGATTATGTTCTAAAAATCATTTGTTAGAATTTTCATTTTATGGAATTTCATTTTTCATAATTATTTTTAAGACGAATTTTTATTTGCTCGAATTTTCATTTAACATAATAGGCATTTTAAAGAATTTTTATTGGGTAAAATTTCATTGCATAGAATTTTCATTTTATTCTTTCAGATGAATTTTCATTTGTTCAATTATTATTTGATATATTTTCCATATAACCGATTTTTCATACTACAGAATTTTTACTCAACCGAAAAATCAATTAACAGAATTTCTAATTGATACACGGAGAAAAATGGAAAAACGAATAAAGTAACTTTTACTACTTTAAAAGTAAAATTGGACCTGTCCGAAGTTTCTGCGCATCTCTGGCAACTTTTACTCGAAAAATAGTAAAATTGACTATTTCTGTAGTAAATTTTACTGTTTCCGTAGTAATTTTTACTATTTCTGAAGTAAATTTTACTATTTTTGGAGTAAAAGTTGCCAGAGATGCGCAGAAACTTCGGATAGGTCCAATTTTACTTTTAAAGTAGTAAAAGTTACTTTTTCTTTTTTTCCGTGTAGAATTCTTCATTTGTCCGAAATTGCAAATGGCCGAACAAACAATCGATTTCGGCGCGATTTTTAAAATCAACCAATCACAATTTTATGGATAATTTTTGAGTGGTTGATTTTAAAAATCGCGCCAAAATCGATTGTTTGTTCGGCCATTTGCAATTTCGGACAAATGAAAATTCTATCATTTAGAAATTCTGTTAAATGATTTTTTTGGTTAAGTAAAAATTCTGTAGTATGAAAAATCGGTTATATGGAAATTATATCAAATAATAATTCAAACAAATGAAAATTCATCGGAAAGAAAATTCTATGCAATGAAATTCTACCCAATAAAAATTGTTTAAAATGCCTATTATGTTAAATGAAAATTCGAGCAAATAAAAATTCTGTGAAGTGAATTTTTGGTTATATAAAAATTCTATAATATAGAAAATCGTTTTGATGAAAATTCTGCAAAATACTAATTCGAACAAATAAAAATTCGTCTTAAAAATAATTATGAAAAATGAAATTCCATAAAATGAAAATTCTAACTAATGATTTTTAGAACATAATCATGCGGCGCCCTTTTGTTTTGGTCAAAAAAAATTTTTTTTTTTTTTCAAAAATGTATATTACCAATCGAATTTTAGTATATAAAACTCATAAAATTAATAAATATAATTAAAAATTATTAACTAATTAAATTTTTAAATCACAGACAATTCACACATATATTTTGCAGGATTTATTTTATTATTAACGCATCAATTCTTTATTTTTATAGATTAAAAATCTCGACAAATCATTTATTACTTGACGCGAACATTTTTTTTTTTTTTTATAAAATACGGAATCGAACAAAACTTTATAGATTCAATTTCATTCTACATTGAATTTAATATTACTTTTGTATGATGATGGATATTGCGAGAGAGAAGAAATTTTTTTTCAGATTGACAGATATGAAAAGTTTATTATAATTGTCACATGATTTAAAACAAGCAATTTGCATACAAAATTGAATTTTTAGGCAAAATTTCCGAAGTGTATACTAATTCAAAAAAAAAAAAAAAATTTATTACATCAGGCTCTAATTTCCATAATGTCGGGGGTTTTTTTTTTGTTTAATTTGTTTATCAAAAGTATATATTTTAAGCTTCATTTTAAGGGGGGTAAAAAAATCAACGGTCCTTTTTTTAAAAAAATTCAAAAATATTTTTGATTTAAAAAAAAAATTTTTTTTTGCCTAAAATGTAAATATATATATTTAACGCCCAGAAAGAAATAATATAATTGTTATTGCTTAATAAATATTCTCTTTATAAAATTAAAAAATGACAAAAATAAACACTTATGCTAATATATTTATTTATATATATGTATTTATAATTGGAAACTCACAGCAAAATATGCACAGAAATGACCCCGCAATGCTGACAGTTTCTGTTTTTAGAATCGTCTAAAATAAGCACCATGTATGAAATCGATTTTATCAATATACGACTTTAAAGTGTTAAAAATAATATCCTTCTCTTTCGCTCTTTCTTTCTCACTCTAAAAGTTTGGAAAAAAAATTTAAATCTGTGAAATTGGTAAGAGAGAGAGTAAAAAAAAAAAATTAGTGAAATGGAAAGGAAAACTTTTTTTTCTGTTTTTTAGTAAAAGAAAATGAACCACATATACGTGAATACTTTTTAGGTCAATACAAAAAAAAAAAAAAAAAAAAAGAGTTGACAAACGGTGTCCTATTGACAAAAAGAATGACCCATTAACATACCTTTGAACTTTGTTTATATATAAAGAAGGTAAATTAGATCTTCTCGAGTATCACGTCTGATGACAAATGCATTTACATCATTGTCAGCATTATAAGCTTTATTTGGAATGAAAGTCGATAAAGCTTCTTAAAATACTTTTCCTTTTGTACTTCATTTTTCTTTTTAAAAGCTGCTTTAAAAAAAAAAAAAAGAAAAAAAAAGAAATGAAAAACAATGCATTTTCTTCTGAAACTAAATATTCTGTTTGTCAACGCTTTAATCGTTAAATGTTAAATTCTTGAATTCCATAAAAGGCAACAGCGCTTATTAAATTTCCCGAGACGCAAACAAAAATTAATATATTATATGAGAGTTTAACCATTTTACAGCTTTAAAAAATACGTATTAAATTTTTTTTTCAAATATTAATTTTGCAGAAATTCTCATTCAACAGAATTTTAAGTGATTCGAATTTTTATAAATGAATAAAATTCCAATTCACCGAATATTAATTTGTCCGAATTAAATTGGAAAATAGCCGAAAAAAAATCGACAAAAAAATGTTGGCACCATTTTTAAAATTATAATCAATTAGAAATCGGACGTTTGCAATTTCGGACAAATAATAATTCGGCGTTTTTTTTTTTTAGAATTCAATCAAATAACAATTTGTATAAATAAAAATTCTTACAAATAAAAGATTCGTTGATTTGAAAATTTTTGAAAAATAAAAATTCGAATTACAAAAAAATTCTGTTGAATAAGAATTCTGCTTAATTATAAAATTCGGCTAAATTAGCATTCTTTCAAATAAAAAATTGGGTTAAGATAATGCTAATTTGAAAAATTAAAATTTATCTAAACTTGAATTTAAAAAAAAAACACAAAATTTTTTAGCTAAAATATGAATTTTTGATTTTTCAATTTTTATTAATTCTTAAAATTTAATTCAAATCTGTACTTTATATTCTATACCAATCGATTCGTTTTAATGTAGGGAATAAAATTATTTCATATATAAACTTGAATTTTTTAATAAACACAAGTTATTGACAAGTTTATTAATTAATTTATTCACTGCACTGAATATTCAGATATTAAAAATACTTTTATTATGAATTTTAAGAAAGAGAGAGAAGCGAAAACTTATAAATTGCGAGCAATTAAATAAGAAAAAATTTATTTCGAAATAAAATGAAATACACTAACCTTTATTTATGTTTATCACATAAGATTTAAGTTACGTTCACAATCACAATACTTGAAAATTTTTAATTATTTTTGTGGTTCAAATAATTATCAATAATTTATTTATTATAAATGAACAAAATTTAAGCAATACACGCTTGATAAATATTTCTAATGCGTTGTCAATTAATGCAATTAATAATTTCCTATTACACAATATCATAATCGACATATATGACATTTGTAAACAAACAGGGTTGGGAAACAAGAGCCCAAAATATATTCGTCCAAAGCGAATTTCAATCCTACCCAACTCTGCTTTGGACGAATATATTTTGAGCTCTTGTTTCCCAACCCTGTTTGTTTACAAATGTCATATATGTCGATTATGATATTGTGTAATAGGAAATTATTAATTGCATTAATTGACAACGCATTAGAAATATTTATCAAGCGTGGATTGCTTAAATTTTGTTCATTTTAATAAATAAATTATTGATAATTATTTGAACCACAAAAATAATTAAAAATTTTCAAGTATTGTGATTGTGAACTTAACTTAAATCTTATGTGATAAACATAAATGATTCAAATATTTGGATCAATTTGATACCTTATATCGAATCAAAACGTTGCATTCCAAAATGATACCATCAAGTTTACAGTGGAAGCAAAAATAATTATATATTTAATAAAATTATATTAATAAATAGATGAAAATTTTTTTTCTCCTAAAGGTAGAAAATATTGAGAAAAAAAAATTGTACCACCTGTGGAAAAATAATATAATATGCAAAGTGTTATAGTTCAATGAATTGTAAGTCTATTGATAAAAAAAAAAGTGGATTCATAAATTTTTCACATCAAGTTTAAAAAGTTATGAAACAATTTTTTATACTTTTCTTTGAGGCTTAAGTAAAGTTGCTTATGTTGCATTTTATGACTTTTTCTTGACGAATATATATATATATATATATATATATATATATATATATATATATATATATATAAAACTATATAAGAATAAACTTCTTTATATAAGATTAACTTTAGAGTTATGTTATTAAATTTCTGTATATAAAGAAAACCTTGAAGTATTATTTCACTGTTTTTATTTTAAAAAGAAAGAAAAAAGGAATAAAGTATATTAATTAAATTAAAAAAGAAAAAGAAACAAAAGAGGAAAAAAAAAGAATTAAAATGCAACATGTAACATGGAAAATGAAAAAATTTCCCTCCTTCTCAGAAGTTTGAAGGCACTGAACGAATTTAAAACAGGAATGAAATGAAACAGATTTAATTGGAAGAACTTGAAGACCTTCG